GGAATTATAGAATGGAAACATATACTTGTTCAAGCCGCTGATGAAAGACATCCATGTGAAGTAAACCTAAAAACCCACACCTGCAAAGAACTGCCATAAGATATAGAAGTTGCAACAAATGCCAATTTGTCATAATATGAACCCTTTAGCTTGTAGAACTCACAACGCTAAGGTGACAAGCTAAAGATCCAGGGAATACAGAGAGAACTGATACCTGAACCCCAGGCCAAGTGCGGTACTAGACTCTTTGGCAACTGACACACTAGCATCATTGCAAGTTAATCGCTCTATTGCATGATTAAGGGCTTCAAAATCAGATCCATTAGCCGGATAAAGGCCTGAAAAAACCATGTGTTTTACAGGCTTGAAACCTGAAAGACAATGATTTGTAAGGCCTAAGAATTAAGATATATCACAAGAAAGAGAATGTAATAAAGAAACTACAGATGAAGAACAATGAGGTTTAGGCAATAACAAGCTACATAAATCTAGGATCAGCATATGACAAAGAAAATAATTCTCTGGACAAAAGCTAGATGTAGTTAATGAAACCTGGAAGAGGAGTTACAACACTTTTGGCATGATAAAGCGTATCACCAACACGTGCCTCTTTGGTAGAACGCATGCCACTAACAACATAACCAACTTGTCCAGTGAAAAGCATTCCAGTGGGTGTAAGCTCAGGATGCATTATTCCAACATCTAATATTTCATAACTCTGACCAGTTGCAGCAGATGCAATCTTGTCCCCTTTGCGTAGAGTGCCATCAACCACAGCAACATGGCAGATTACACCTTTGTATTCATCATAATAAGAATCTAACAAAAGCATTCGCAAAGGTGAATCACATTTTCCAGGGGGAGGAGGTATACGCTCTATAACAGCAGGCAGGACTTGCTCAAGCCCTTGTCCAGTTTTTGCAGAAGTTAAAAGGACATCTTTAGGATCAAGGTCAAACAAGGACTTCAACTGAGCTTTAACACGATCCGGATCAGCAGTAGGCTGATCAATTTTGTTTATCACAGGGATAATACTTAAGTTTGATTCAAAGGCAAGATAAAAATTAGCAACTGTCTGTGCTTGAACTCCCTGAGCAGCATCAACAACTAAAAGTGCACCCTGGCAAGCTGCGAGTGATCTTGATACTTCATAGCTAAAATCCACATGACCAGGGGTGTCTATCAGGTTTAACAAAAAACAAGGTGCAGTTTGCGAGTCACATGCATCCGGATGACCAAATGAATGCCGATGGAACATAGCTGCTGTTTGTGCTTTGACCGTTATACCTCTCTCTCTTTCTACCTACACAAAGATACAACATAATGTAGAATGAAATATGTCGATCATATCAGGGGCTAGAACATAAGAAAACACAAATACACTATAACTTTGGAAAAACATGTCTTGAATTTTCAAATGAACCATCAGATTCTTAATTACTCCTAAATTCTGTTGTAAATGTTATTTAAGTTAGGTACTAAATTCTTTAAGCTCCATAACAAGTATGGAGATTTGAGAGAAAAAAAGGATCACTCCTTGATGAATAGCATGCTTAATCTATGATTTATCATCTCAAGATAAGGATAATAGTACCAGAGAACTTCACAAATTTTGGTAATTTCATTTGCTCAGTCTGAACAAAGTATTTTTTAGATTAGCAGTGGGATTTAGATCTCAGAATCAGAAAGATCATCCAAGCAAATCAAATTGATCAAGGGAGTAGATTTTCCTTTCTTTGAATGATGGGAAATCAGTTAGGAACAAAAGTTGATCAGGATTCATCAGAGATTATTTGAAGCCGATCGGACATCCACTGCGATCAGCAGCTAGAATCAATTGGAACTTGATTTCGACCAGCTTAAATTGGTCAAGAGAAGATCAGAATCAATAGATATATGTCAGAACCGGCAAAGACTACCAATAACCAGTAAGACCAACAAGGAAAGCACTGTATGTAGCCAAAATTGATAGTGATCAACCCACAAGAAGTCAGCTGGGACCGGCTGATCCCCAAAATGATTGGGGGTTTCAAGGTCGACCTGACCAATCTCATTCATAAACCACATACCAAGATCGATATGGATACGAGAGCATCAGCTAAGCCAACAAATGTCTCTAGCTCAACCAGATTCACACATTGTGCCTTCCTACTCATGATGTCTATTGTCACAACTTTTATGCAACTCATTTTTTGCAAGCTTATTCCGTATGTAGTTCAAGTTGGAATCTTTTCTTGGCTCACTTATTTTCCTAGTATAATACACAAAGCTGTGCTTCTCATACCTATATAATATGCAAGGAAAAAAAGAAAATATAGTGTCCAAGAAGATATATTATTTTAATATATAAAATCTGCAAATGACATTTTGATGCCAATAAAATGAGGCCCATCGTAGCATCATATGCATATCCAAAGAGGTTGAAAGGCCAACATATCTATATCATGATATAGCATCAGCCTCAGTATGCAAAGAAATAGGCTCTCTCTTTTTTTTTTGTCAAACTTGGGAAATATTTCTCTACTGAGTACCAAGAAATGTGTCTATAATGTTTCTCTTTACACAGCTTTCGTATGTTTATTTATTTTCCCCTTCTACCTAAAGAGTAAACTTTAGCTGTTTCTCAGGGACTAGAAGTGGCTAAAAACTACGGTAAAAGCATTAATTAAACTTCTCATGCCATCATCATGAACAACAAATTTAACCAATAGTAATAGAACTCTGATTACTTTCTAAAGAAACTTAACAGCAATAACCAAAAATTCCAGAACAAATTCCTATTTCAAACATCCAAAGCCGGCTGGAAAACAACACACCAAATAGCTCCCTTTTTTTTTCATGCTTGGCACCTAACCTGAAGCTTGTCGAGGTACTGCGGCTGCCCGTGCCCCCGCTTGATGGTCTGCGTGAGCTCCAAAAGCCGATCTGCAAGCGTCGATTTGCCATGGTCGACATGAGCGATGATGGAGAAGTTTCGGATTTTTTCCGGCGAGTATTGGCTCAAATCGATGCCACCGTCTCGATTATCGTGTCGAGATTGTGAACAGAAACTGCGCTCGTCCAGGCACAGATGAAGGAGGGATGCATCAGCGCCAAGCACAGATGAAGGAGGGATGCATGGATAGGGATGACGAAGAAGATTGCATCGAAGCTTCGACCTCGCCGCTCTCGAAAATCGAACGAGAGCAGACATCGGAGCTCGAATCAATTTCTCTCTGTCACACTCTCCGAGTCCGATTCACTTCGTGATCGAAATGGACGGACCATGGACCGGAGAAAGGAAAAGATTTAGGCCTCAACCCTCTAGGGTTCGGCTGGGAGTTGTCGCGGAGGTGAGGGGATGGTTAGAACTTGTAACTGCGGACGTCCGCATATTATGTCGTTCCAAAGGGTCGCACCTTTGGTTTTACTTGTCTCTCGTATTCCATGTCACTTGCTCGAAGGCGGTGGGGTCTCGCGTAGGACCACATTGCCACGTGCTGTGTTCGCAGCCTCCGGTCGTGGGGAATTCCGACGATCCTTAGAGAAATACATAGTTTCTTTGATTATATTATTTCCATGTTTTTGTGCGAAAAATATAGTGATAAATTAGTTGGCGTCATTTGTTGGAGCCATCAAATCATTTTATTTTAGTAGTATAACCGACTCCCATAGTCGATGTTTCGATTCGGAGTTGTTATCGTCTTTGCTTTTAATTGGATTTTCTTATTTTAAAAAAAGAAACAAAAATAAGTCAGCAATCATAGGCATATTATATATATATATATATATATATATATATATATATATATATATATATTAAAAATGACGTAACTAACATATCAATGTCATGTATTCTACAAATTTACTGATTTAATAAAATCATTTGATCAACAAACTGATTTTATATGATCGATACACCAATTTATATGATTAACATGTTAGTTTTACATAAATAACATATTAATTTCATGTGATTGACACATCAAAGCCATTTGCTCAACACGATGAAGCTATCTGTCATGAATTATTCATCTATGCTCGATAAAATGTCATGTGAATAAGAATTATGATAGTTATTATTGTATAAAGATCGGTTCGAAAAGAAATTACGTTGGATCCGAATTAATTTTCAACTAAGAAAATCAAAAACTATACTAATGATTGTTGAATTCTTAGAAAAAAAACATCTGAGTTTTTTTTTTTTGAAAAGTGTTAAATTTATATAAAAATAGTGATTTTTATTTATCAAATTTTTTTAAATATCTAGCATGTACGTTACAACCTCTCAACTAATCCATAGGATAAATTAATTATCGTCGTTCTTTTGAATGATGGGTTAAATCCCTTTGTATATAAAATCGATCATGATTTTGGTTCCACCAAATTTGGAGGCCAAATCAAATCAAATCGACTTTAAACCGTTTTAGTTCTTATTTTAATTTAATCCACTAATTTTAATTTTTTTTAAAAAAAATATTATTCCACAAATATTTAAACCCAAGTCAGAAGATTTTAAATATAATGTATTAGCTACTATACTATGGAACCTAATTATCGTTTATTTTTCTATTTTTTTATTTATTTAGTTGGTTTGAAATTGGAATCATGGATTCCGATCTCAATTCATAGGAATCATAACGAAAACCGAACCATATGGTGGCGGTTCAGATTTGATTCTAGTTCCGGGTGGGTTTGGTTTGAACCCAACCTTGGTGAAGGTATAAGAATTGCAATCAGTTATAGTGTTTTTAACCTATCTATCAAAGCATTGTATATATATATATATATATATATATATATATACTCTGTGTCTCTCTCTCTCTCTCTCTTTGTTTCTCTTGCTATCAGACGTGTGGCCACCGTAACCACCTGTCCGTAGTTTCTGCCCCATTCCGTCAAGACCACCGCATGGCGGGGGCGGCGGGTGCGGCTATCCTCTCTTTTCGCCGGCAAACACTTAAACAGGCTGCCTCCACTCTTTTTATAAGCCACCCAACCATTGCAGACCCCATCGCAGGCCGAGAGGGTGAGCATACCCGTGGCCCTTGGTTGGTTTCTCCTTCGTCGGGAAGGAGCAGCAGCAAGGAGGTGCCGAATCAAATGGAGTTCTGCCTTGGGTACTTGTTCTACTCCCTCCTCTTCCTAGCCTCTGCTGCCTCCTCCAACACCAACATCACGGACTACGATGAGTACTGGGTGAAGAGGGAAGCCGAGGCACTCTCCAATATCATGCAGGCCTACGTTTCCGAACCGGAATCCGTCGTCAACCACTTCAACACCCCCGACATCTTCCAGTAAGTCCTCTGTTTCTCTGCCCCCGTCCATCAATTGTAGGCGACCAACACCACGCTTTTTGTTTGCTTCACGTGATCGTTCACGTCGCAATGGTCATAGCCATCGACTCCAAAAAATCTAATGCGCATGGACGAGTGATACCATTTTGGGTGGTCGGTAACTCCTGCAGGGTCTTCAACAGCACCAGGAGGAGCCTTCGCCATGGAAAAGGAAAAGGCCGAAAATGCGTTGCCACAAACCCGATCGACCGGTGCTGGAGGTGCAGGAGCGATTGGGCGAGCAACCGCAAGCTTCTGGCCAAGTGCGCCAAGGGCTTCGGCCGCCACGCCGAAGGCGGCTTGAGTGGTTCGATTTATGTGGTTACAAATCCTTCGGACGACAACCTCCTGGACCCCCGGCCAGGCACCCTCCGCTACGGCGTGACCCGCGACAGGCCACTCTGGATCATCTTCGCCCGTGACATGGTCATCAAGCTCCAACAAGAGCTGATGATCAACAACTACAAGACCATCGACGGTCGGGGTGCGAACGTTCACATCGCCTACGGTGCCGGCCTCACCATCCAGTTCGTGAAGCATGTCATCGTTCACAACCTCCACATTCACGACATCAAGCCCGGCGCCGGTGGCAACATCAGGGACTCCGAGGGGCACTGGGGGATAAGGACGCGAAGCGACGGCGACGGCGTCAGCATCTTCGGCGCCTCCCACGTCTGGGTCGACCATCTCTCCATGTCAAACTGCGCCGACGGCCTCATCGATGCCGTCAAAGCGTCCACCGCCATCACCATTTCCAACTGCCACCTTACCCGCCATAATGACGTAAATTTTGGAACCCGGCTCACCACATGATAATAGCCGCACGTCTTCCTCCTCCTGTTTCTTCCATTCCTTATATCGCCGTCTGCTTGGTTACAGGTGATCTTGTTGGGTGCCAGCGACAAGAGCCAGGAGGACGCTGTGATGCAGGTCACTGTTGCCTACAACCACTTCGGGAAAGGCCTTGTGCAGAGGATGCCCAGGTGAGAGAAGAGCCTCCTCGTTACGCAGGGAGAACCGGATGCCCTGTGCCGCAACTAATTAGAGTAACTTGTCCACCCCTCCTCGCGCAGGTGCCGATGGGGCTTCTTCCATGTAGTGAACAACGACTACACCCACTGGATGATGTACGCCGTCGGCGGCAGCCAGCATCCCACCATCATCAGCCAGGGCAACCGATTCGTGGGTCCACCAATCCAATTCGCCAAGGAGGTATTCATGACGCGCGCATACATTGCACAGTTTTGAGTATCCATGGCGACGAACAACCACATATATCTATCTATCTATATGCGATGCAGGTGACCCACAGGGAGTACGCACCGGAATCCGAATGGAAGAACTGGATCTGGACATCCGAAGACGACGAGTTCAAGAGTGGGGCGTTCTTCATTCAGTCAGGACATAAGTACCAGGGAAAGCACTCCAGGTATGATGTGATCAAGGCAAAGCCAGGGAGCATCGCCGGACGGCTCACTCGTTTCTCGGGAGCTCTCCAGTGCAGTCCGAATCGTCCATGCTGATGTTGCGATCTACATCAGTTGAACGTGCCGCTGCAGAAGGATGAGAGAGTGCGTGATTGATCAAGGTCGAGACAGCGGATGATTTGTACGATTGCAAGCGCAATCCAATTATTCATATCGATATGCATGTCTGTGTCGGCTTTGTTGGTTTTGAACTTTCAGCTATTTTATTTGAAATATTGAAAATCCAAACTTGTTAAACATCAAATATTGTGTGTTATGTCATGTGACAAGCCTAACCATTACGCTCTCAATCAAATCAAAACAATCACAACGCCCCTCATAGTGGTCGGAGTCAACGGAGTCCAAATTGTGGTACCCACGGCCCAACTAACACCCCGCTCCGCGGCCGACGTCGTTTCCAGCAAACGAGAACTCGCGCCAATGACGACCAGCCGTGTGGAATATCTGACGTTGCTCCGTCTCACTGCCGTCCCACCGCGTTAGCCGTCTCCCCGCTCCGCTGTCGGCATATATCCATCTCTTTCCGGCTCCGGTGCCCGTCGGTTCCTTTCTTCATCTTCTCCCATTCACCGGGAGATCGGACGCGGGGAGATGCCCTCCGTCGGATCCAGCCGGGAAATGGAAGGGCATGAAGCCGCCGCTGCGTTCGACCGCGTCCTGTTGCTGGCCTTCTGCGTCGTCGGCATCTGGTCCGCCTACATCTACCAGGGCGTCCTGCAAGAAACTGCGTGAGCAGCTTTCTTTCGTTGCCCTAGCTCTTTTTTTTCTTTTCACATTTTCTTGCTCGATTCCTTATCAAATTGGCCCTTTGTCAGCGAAACAAGCATCTAAATCTGGTGACCTGTGTTACGGTTTGTAATGAACGTACCCTTTCTTGTGTCTCAGATCGACCAAGCTATTTGGGCCTGACGGGAAGCGGTTCGAGCACCTCTCCTTCTTGAACCTGGCGCAGAACGCGGTTTGCTTCTTGTGGTCCTTGATCAGTAAGTGGATCGCAGATCTGTTGTTGTTGTTGTTGTTTGGGAGGATTGATGGATATAATTTGTTTCACTTTCATCGATTGGGCAGTAGCGATAAAACTGTGGTCGAGGAACTCTTCGGGGGTAGCTCCATTGTGGAGCTACTGGAGCCCAAACATCTCTAATACCATCGGTCCTTCCATGGGAATCGAAGCCTTGAAGTATATCAGTTATCCCGCACAGGTAAGTTAGGCGAAGGGTTCAGATATTAGAGTTTGATAGTTCAATTGTGATCAACTGTTTGTGTGTGCATACAAGAACTGGCATCTTTTCTAAAACAATTAACCAGGAAACAGATATCTTTATTATGACAGTGTTGTATCCATTCCTTAGCTTTGCTCAAGTTAAAATAAAGTTCGATTCTTCTTAGGAGTGATAACCTCCAAATTCCATAGCTCTTGTCGTAATGGCTGCTATTTGGACAATTCCTAGCTTTCCAAATGTTCTACATTATAGACACTCTATCTGGGAAGGTAGATTTCCTCGATACCCAATTTTGAAATATTCACTGATATTTGCAGTACTGTTCCAACAGCGACCAAACCTCAAAAGGCATAGTGGCAATATGCAAGGCTTGCATTTCATCAATCTTGGATTAAGCACATCGGGCGAAGTTGATTAACACCACTCTATAGAAGTTACAACTGTTTAATGGATTTGTTGGAGAGGATCTCCCAAAAGGCAAATCATACATCTACATTATAATAGTAAGTCAAGACTCGAGAAATCAATAGTGACTAAATAGCAAGTTAAGATTTGGCACTTTTGCATGAGTTTGCAGAAATTTGCTACAATTATGTTCTTCTCCAGTTATCCAGCTGTGTTCTTCAGCAAAAGTAGCATTTGTTATTTCTCCCTCGTGATAATCTCAAATGTTTGATCCTTCTAATGATTTCTCTTGTTGGGCAGCTATTATCATCCTTTTGTTCACATGTGCATTGATGAGCATTAATTTCCTGAAAATTACTTGTTAATTTCAGGAGATTAGATTTCAGATTATTAAGGAGTACTAATTTTATTAATTCTGTGTATAATAGGTTTTGGCAAAATATACAAAGATGATTCCTGGTGAGTGTAGTATTTGCTTTCGGTTCCATGCAAACATTAGCAAGGTTTTTCCTGAAAAGAAATTGTTTTTTGATGTGTGATGTGCAGCACTTTAAGTACACCAAGCCAATAACTAATTATAAAAATATGAAATTTATATCCATGGTTGATGACATTTGTGTCAATAAATAAGACTGTTGCATTATAAAGCATTTAAATTCTCAATATCCCTTTAGTTATGTTTTGAAATATAGCTCAATTATCCTATTTTAAAATCCAAGCAAATGACAAACTATGTTTTAGTGGTCAACTTGAAAGCGCTTAACACTAGTAGTTGTTTCTCTCTATAGCTTAGCTCTCTGTAACCGAAGAGTTACCACGTATATGATATCCGAATGGCTGATGTTAGGATAAGCACGAGTAGTTACTTCTTTGTAATTATTGTCCTCACTAACAAGTGTTTCTTGGCCTACTCCCAGTTATGCTGATGGGTACTCTTGTTTATGGGATCAAATACACTATCCCGGAGTACATTTGCACATTCCTTGTTGCTGGAGGGGTATCATCATTTGCACTTTCGAAGGTTAGATGGTTTCCTCTGTTTCCTGATGTGGGAAAATTTTTGACGATTGTTTATCAATTGAAACAGATAACCTATCATCCTTTTTTTTAATATGATGTCCGGTTGGTTAGGAATGAGTTTTAATGTGTGATATCTTGCTAACACCACCATCACTACTACCCGCAAGTTTGTCAGCATCGTCGTCTCCTCTTTGATAAGCGGTAATCCCTTGTCCCCGAAGCATTGGGCAAGTGTGGTAATGGTGTTCTCGGGGCTCTCTCTGCAGATCTTCCTCAAGTGGAGGAAGATCCAGCGAACGAAGAAGGGAAGAAAGGCCACATGAGGCCAACATGCAGGCAGATTTTTACGCTGATGAGCAATGCAAATGTACCGATCGTGTAACAAATATTTACTGCAATCTTACCCCTCTTTTCGGATACCCCAATTTGTTGGAGACAGGCTAAGTCTAATGCGAGGAGGATATTGTGGCAGGAATGGTGATCATCGACCGGTAAGGAGATTTTTGTTATTGGGTACCCATAATTGGTTTCTTCGGAAAAAAAAGTAGGCCTTTGTATAATGGGACCACCAAGTAATGCCTTTATTTTCTTTGTCAAGTTAATTAATTACCATAGGCCTTTATTTCGTGTCATTGGTTACATCTAAATTATACGCCTTAAACTATTTTAATTAAGTTGACTAATCATAATTTGGTTACAAACAATGTTGAATCTTCCCCGGTTTGTTTTCTCCTCGACTCTCGCGTCGGGTCTGTGGCGAACGACACTCCAACACGACGATAGCAATTTGACAGGACCTGAATGGTAAGTTTACTCACCCGAAGGGGTGGTATCGGGAACTTCCAGGGCTCGGTTGATTGACGGCCGCATTTCGTTTACGGCGATAACAGCAGCCCCAGCCTGCGCATTCTCGCACTTCGGAGTGATGTCTTCGCGGTCGTGTCCTCTCTCCCTCCGCCCTTCTCCTCTCCTCCCGTCTTCCTCTGCTCCCCTCAGAATTAGTTTTTCCTGTCCCACAACTCTAACCCTTGGTAGCAAGAAGAAGGCACAGCTTTCCGTTCTATGCCGCCGCTCCGACTACTTCGACCAGCAGCGCCTCTTTTCTCGACCTCCTTCGCCGTCGCAGGATGAACCGTCCTTCTTGGCCTCTCAGCCTCCCGGAGGTTCCTATCGGTTCCTCTCTTACAGTTTCCGCAACGATTGAGGGGGAAAAACAAAAACCCTAACCTTTTATGTTGCTTCGGCTTGTCTGCTTTTCAGCTCAACCTTCTAGGGTTTTCGTCGGGTATTCCATTTACAAAGGCAAGGCCGCGCTCACCGTTGAGCCGAGGGCTCCTGAATTTGCCCCACTGGAGGTGAGTTTCTTAGTTTGATTTCATATTTTTTTGGCCAAAATCTGTCGTTGGTTTGTAAAATTCACCGTGGTCGATTTGTTCGCGGTGCAGTCTGGAGCATATAAGGTTTCCAAGGAAGGATTTATCCTACTCCAGTTTGCCCCTGCAGGAGCGACCCGGCAATATGATTGGAGCAGGAAACAGGTTTGCTAAATTACTTCCATTTTTCTTCCTTGTATTATTGGTATATAGTGTGATCAACGTGAATTAACATAGTAAATCACGCAAAGAAGGGGAAGTATATATTTGGTTTTATATGGAATTGCCAGCCATCTTTAGATTTAAAATGATCTGGAAGATAAAATCTCTAACCTTTTTTGGTTGCTTGTTATTTCCTGTGAATCAGTGGTTTTCTATCTATTAATTCTGCAAGATCATTTTCCCCTTTCTCTGTAGTTACAACATCTAACTTCAACATGTTCAGCTGTTTCTCACTATGTTCTGAGAATTTGGGAGTAAGCTCATGACTCAGAGATGTAGGGTAATAGAGCGATTAAAACTCTGCAATCATGAACAAAATGATAATCTTCAAGTTTAGGAAGAGATTAGAGTGCTTAATACAAGAGTTGCAAATTACTACATCACGATCTATTTAATGAAAGATACCGAGTGTATTGTCAGTCGGAATCCATTGAAACTTTAAACACAAATAAGTTACCTGGACAAAAAAAGAACCATCCAAAAACTTTTACCTTTTGCACTTGCAATCATGTTAAAACGAGTGTAACTTATTTTGTGAATATTATAAAACGAAATTTTGATAAAATCAGTAATAAATCAAGCAGATATTCAGTTACATATCAATATGTCATTGATCCTAAATTGTAGTGTGAATGTTATTTAGGGACCAGTTGGTTTGCAGTTGAAAATTAGTAGGCATTAGAACCATATTATACTGGGACATGTGTGTGTGTATTATTGGGAGAGGCCATTGTGGGCATGGTTCGTGGCATACCTTGGTCCATTAATGGAAGAAACTTTTTGAATGTAAAAGCATAGCAGTTTGTGCTTGTTGTCCCATGTTTGCATCATAGCAATGGATAATTCTATGATTTTTTACATGTTATTGTTGCTTTCCACATGAAGGAACTAAAAAATATATATCGTGCAGCTTTAGAATTTCATCAGAAGACTTTTTCATGAGCAAGAATCATCAAGAAAGCACACAGCACTCTCCTTTACCGCTTTACAAATTTTGAAATAACATGTAGCAGGGTTCATGCCTAAGTATTTTCATTTTGGAAGTTGAATAACAAGAGAATTTTAAAGCATGGTTACAAATTACTTCTTCCTTGCAATTTAAAAAATTTGCACTGTGGACATAGATAAAGAGAACAACCATGTGCTAACAAGCATCGTCTCCTTTGGGGTAGGCATCCATGAAGATTCAGTTGGAACATGGGTTATTATGAACCTGCTCTTTTACATACTAAATTAGCCTATGATGAAAATCTGAAATGGATGGGACAGGCTTTGGTCATTGGGGTAAATAGTATTGATAAATATATGTAAGTGATTAATATATGTGTAGTTCATATTTTCCTTTCGACAGCAATCTTGATGCTACATCATGATAATCTTGTGCTTTCTGCTGTAAGAACTAGTTGTGTGTTATTCGACATGCTTAGTACATAATTTTTTTAGGAATTACAACTCTGTTCCTATTCTAATCATGTCTCTCTCTCATTTTCTGGCAATTTCTATTTTACCTCTCTGTGCACTTTTTCTTTTTTGAGCCTTTTCCGCAAACACAATGTAAAGCTTAATTATTTTTTATATTTGATGCAGGTCTTTTCCCTGTCAGTAGTTGAAGTTGGTCATTTGATGAGTCTTGGTGCAAAGGATTCTTGTGAGTTTTTTCATGATCCATTTAAGGGAAGAAGGTAATCATCTTGATAAGAAAAAAAGCATAGAAATTATATGTTTATTTTTTACTACCATACTATAAAGTGCTTCTGAAACTAAAGAAAGAACATTTCATGGTGCTTTAGTATTGGAATATGGAAACAAAACTTTTATCTTTTTGGAATTTATAGTTCCATCTGAAGTTCATGGTAGTGGTTCAAGTGAGTTATCCTAATAGATACTATCTCCTCTTTATTTTTATCTGCAGCGCTATTTGTTATAGTAAAATGAAGATCATGCTTAAAATGGATGGGAACTGGGCTTCCTGCTTACAGTCAATATGACAATTATTATTTTTCTGAGTCATATATTCTTGTATTCTTGATCATCGCTTGATCATCAATAAAAGGCTTTCTAATTCTTTTTTCTGATCCAGTGGGGCTTCCTATTGATCTAAAACTAAGTGTAACTTAGCTAACTGGTTGAAGTGTCATCTCTTTTCCCTTTGCAGTGATGAAGGCAAGGTCCGTAAAGTTCTGAAGGCAGAACCTCTTCCAGATGGCACTGGACATTTCTTTAATCTTAGTAATTCTCTATTTTCTGTCTTTCTTTTAGTAAATTAGATGTATTTGTCACTTGATGTGATATATAAGATTTCTACAATTATGCATTGAACTTCTCGATTTCTGATTTTTCTAGTTCCATTTTGTGGCTAAGACTGTAATATACCGATCCAGATTGCATTATCTGACTGATCATCATCCCAATCTTAAAATGCTGATCCAGATTCTCTTGAACCTTGGTGTATATCATGTGACTTTTCAAATGTACGGCAGACTGATGTGTTCTGGCAAATGCACATATTATAATGTTCCTCATCGGAGCATTACAAGATTGCTCATGAGTTGCTCTGATAATTAGTTAGTTGTTATTTAGTTGGTAATGAGAAGTTTGGCATGCTAAGTTCCTTGCTTTTCTTGTGTAGGTGTTCAAAATCGCCTCCTGAATGTGGACGAAAGCATATATATACCCATTACCAAGGCGGAATTTAGCATTCTGAACTCGGCTTTCAATGTATGGCATGTCTTGTCTTCATTTTCAATTGCCCAAACTTTTTAGTACTTGATTGTCTAAAAATTTAACATAATTATCTGTCATAACTAATTGGTGTGACTATAGTTTAGAGATAGAGGTGAATATGAAAAATGGTCTAGAGATTGATTTCATGGCTATCTAATGATAATGCAGTTTGTCATTCCATACCTTCTGGGTTGGCATACCTTTGCTAATGCTATCAAACCGGAGGACTCCTTCCGCTCAAATAATGCAAGATCTGGGCCTGAAATGGAATGGGGACGGTGAAGCAGATGATACCAGACGACAGAAGAAGCATACTCCGAGAGCATCCAGATGATGCATTTCTTGAAAGTTGACCTGGTGAGAAAAGTTTGCTGATCCTGTAGCCATCTGCAATGAAATTTATTGCTACTCGGATGTGAACTGGGAGGAAATTTTGTGGATGTGTGTTGGCATCGCCGCTGTGGGGCCACTGAAACACTGTTTTTAGTAGACATTGTAGCAAGATTACAAGTCAAGTCTAAGTTTCAGAATGGAGTGTCGATGCATGTCGAGTATCAAATTTTCTTTTACCGGAGCTTATGGGATATGAAAAGTTCTTGCAGGCATCTCTCTTGAAACGAGGACAACAATTTTCACAGAATCAATACTGCAACAATCCGATGGTTTGAGAATTACTCATGTTAAGCGATGAACCTCCTCGAGGCCAACATCGTTCCAGGTTAAGCTTCTTAAGATCCACGTTTGCCTGCGCCTTGGAAGTGTCGTATTACATACACACTGGTTGTTCGTTGCAGTTTTTTTGTTTTTTTATTTCTTTGGACGGGATCGAAAGACTCAGAATTCTTGTTTTAGATGGTGTAAGAAATCCTTTTGACTTAGATGTTGAGTCTAGGGACCAAAATCATCGTTTATATAAATGTTCTTGATGCAAGAACATTTATTATCATCAACTCATAACGTTAAAGAATTAATTTAAATTTATAATAATATTAAATATTTAATAATAATGATTCATTTAGAATGAAAAATCAAAATATTTATACAAGATGAAATTGATTATAATGAATGATAAACCTGATGAGAATGATTATATTATTATTAAATAAAATATTTAATAATAACAGTTACAACCTCTTTCTCGATTCTTCCTGCCGGGCTTCAGCATGTTATATTCCTTGGCGGACGAAAGGAGTGACGCCACGGTGCATGACGTCACTCCTTTCGTCATCTACTCCTTCCAATCTACAGAAGAAGAATAAGAAGACTCGTGAGTCGACGGAGACCTGAATACGGACGAGCGTAACTTCCAAGCATGATCCACATCACGGGGGAGATCTCAGATGATGATCATGTGGACGAACTGAAACTTTGATCCGCCTGCCCCATGCTTCGAAGTAGATACTTATCCATGCATGCATGTAAGCTTCACAAGACTACTTGCCCTATCAAATTAATTAGGATTCTTCCTGATCCGTGCTGCTCCGGCCAGTCCTTGTATAAGATCCTTTGTCCATCGGTCGGCCTAATCAAAACATCGACATGTGATGTATTTATCAGGATTTCAAGGAAAAATAATCTTCAAACAAGATTTGGAGTGATGGATCAAACTATAATTAATTTCCCACGAAACATATACCTTAATGTATTATATAATTAGGCATTATTAGCGTCTTGATATATAGCCATTATAATATTTCAGATCATCGTATGGATAATGGGAGGGCCACTCACATTACATCATTCGCAGCTGACATTCCCTGGAGGCATGGCATCATCACATCATACGACCTGAGGCCGTGCTCCACGTTGCTGCTGTTCTATCATTAGTCCACATACAAAGATGGATGCGAGAACAAGAGAGAGGCAGTGGAGATCATTTTTCAAGGCTGTTCGAGGGTAGCACACAGGAAGGTGGCTTTGCCCATGGTTTTCCGATTCCAAACAAACGGTACGTACGTGTTAGATCCCAACTCCCAATGTGCATCCTTGGACCCCTCGCATCTCTCTCTCTCATCCTCTCCGGGCGGAAACCCCCACCCACAGAATTGGGATCGGAATACGCTCGGCAGCTTAATTATGAGTCTTCTCAAATAAATATGGGAGACCATACGGAACCCGTCTCCTGCCGCCGATTCCTTTCCTCCGGTTCTTGCTCGATGATCAGAATCTAGGGAACGGAAGCTCGGGCTAATGCCGTCGGCGGTGCAGAGGATGTTGGATACGTGCAGAGAGGTGTTTGCCTTCGGAGGTGCCGGGATCGTGCCCTCGCCGGAGGATGTTGATCGCATCATGTCCATTTTCGGTACGAAAGACATTATCACCTTTCTTTTTCCGTGTATTTCATACGAAAGACATTATTACGTTGGTTTCTGGGGATTTCATTAATACGATCGTAGTTTTCGACACTTTTGTTTATGCTGCCGTCCGTTTCCTGTGTTTTGCCATCGATAAGAAACTCGGCCATGAATGAACGAAGGGTTTCTGATGTGAACATGGTGAATACAATGCGCTTGAATGGTAAGCTGCTGCGTACATGCACGGAACATAATCCCCTTTGCTACGTTCCAAACTTGCAGATCGTATAGATGCCTCGGATGTTGGTCTTACTCCGGATATGTCGTACTTCCGACGTGGTGCATCCAGAGGAACGCCGGTGATTACGTACCTGCCCATCCGCGAGCTCGAGGAGTTCTCGGTACGGAGCACGATGACGATGATTATTGTTATGTTGGTTCCATAGGAGGTGATCTATGTATGGATGCTTCGACCGTGCAGATGGTCATCTTCTGTTTGCCTCCGTCGGGTGTGATCCCACTCCACGACCATCCAGGCATGACGGCATTCACCAAGCTTCTCTTCGGCTCCATGCACATAAAATCCTATGACTGGGTCAATGTGCCTCAGAACTTGGCCGAGCTGGTCAACCCTTTGCAACGCCAGTTCCATGGAATGAGTACTCACTTTTAGAGCTGTAACTTAACTCAATGGGTTTTAGAGCTTTAACTGATCTGTGATGCTACTTGTTCATCGTGCATACATCTGAATAGCAACCTCGTTACCCCCTGGATTGCGCTTGGCGAAAGTGAAGACGGATGCAATCTTTACTGCGCCTTGTAGGACCTCCGTGCTTTATCCGGAAGACGGAGGCAACCTGCACTGTTTCAGAGCAAGAACATGTTGTGCAGTGCTGGACGTGCTGGGACCGCCTTATTCCAGCGCTCGAGGAAGGGATTGCACCTACTACCACGATCGTCCATACGCTTGGTTTCCTGGCGGGTAGGTTCTGCGCAAATTTGCGTTTCGCTTGGTCTCCTTTACGCATATACATATACCTATATATCCTCGACTTTCATTTGATTTGAGGTTTATTCCATGTTGAGAGCTTTGGAGGGCGAGACATCTCGTCGCCACCAATAGGTTGATGTTATCCTGCTTTCCTGCTTCTCGATGGTTATTCTCGTTCCTCTGTCTCATGCAACCGTGCATATATATATATATATATATATATATATATATATATATATATCATCGTCCCCATGCCACTCCTGGGTATGATGCGTTTTGCCACCTGAGTTTGGCCGTGAATCCATCAGATAATGATGTTGTTTCTTTCTCTTTCCCACCATAACAGGAGAGGCGAACCCGGTAGCCGATGAGGACGTCGGGACGTACGCTTGGCTTGAAGAGAGGAACCAGCCTGACGACTTCTTTGTGGTTAGGGCCAAATACAATGGTCCAAGGATTTAGTTGTGTACGCAGTGTGTAGTGTAGTGTGTAGCTACAGAATCCTAACACTATGCTTGTCGACCAAATATGTACACAAAATTTTAATTTCCGTCCGTGTGTTTGTTCGGAAACTGCAGTGGAATTTGTTTTTCCTGATGATATGAAGAGATGAAGAAATTAATGTTTGAGTAGAAACACAACGATGCTGTAAATGGAGCATCAGATATCGCTACGATCGTTAATTTACAAGCTGATTATAGATGATTAGATCTTTCAGCATCCCGATCCTTAAATTTTAAAATTTTATATTGAAATCTAACATATAGTTTATTTATCGTGTGTTGATTTTATCGATAAAAATATAAAAATGATAGGTAATAAGATAAATTTAATATCCTAGTAATGCTTTCAGTAATAACAAACAACAGTGCTGTCGGGCTCGTGGCAATTGTGTTAGTATCGATATAGATATAGAGATATAGATATTAGATGTAGATATCGATGTAGATAACAAGTCGGATATAGCTTTTCCTTTTTTAAGCTTACAATATGTCTGTCCACGACGTCAATTTCCTCATTGCTCGTCATAGATAACAAGTCAGATATAGCTCTTGCCACTCCCTCGACGTTGGTTGTTGCATCTCCAACATACGTCCATGGCGGGTCAACCCCTCTATACTTCATGTAAATCTTGATTTTGCTACCTCCCCTTTGCACTTGTGGCCTCCTCATCCTCTAACTCTTGTCTCACCACCTTCGAGTCCATGCATGACACCTCGGGCGAAGAAGCCCATAGATTCTCTGTGGACAACTATGAAACGATAGTACAGGGTGTTTGAGGAAAGGGTAGAGATCGTCTTGCCAAGTTAAAGCCAGAGGATGTGGTTGTCGAGTAGTAATGGTGCGTGGAAGTGACAGTCCGCGTGGTTGGCCTGCACTATGAAACAACCATGGGCCTACCACTACAAGTAGCTCTTGTAGTCGTGTTGTGGTTCGCCATCAAGCTCTAATAGTAAAATGCGACAGCGAAAAGGGATAGTTGGGCGATGCTTCAGAGTGCCTATAAAGTTAATCGTCGTTGTCGCATCATAATTGTCCAAATCGTCGAGTGCAAAGCCTGAGTTACCGATACAATTATCGAGCGTTAGTAATTGTGTCGTCCTCTTCCTTTATCTCAACTCTCATTGTTGCTCTCTTCTCATCCATAATCACCCGTAACCCCCAGCGTCACCATCCTCTACCACTAAAAATGTAATTGAGATATTAAAATTATTTTTTAATTGAGATGTTAAAATTATTTTTTTGTCTATCGTTTTCAGTCCAACCTACCGGAAGGCCCAAGTATGCCCATACGCAATCAATCTGCCAATTCTCTCGTCTCCGCTGCTTCCCTACCTCCATACATTTGTACCCGCTCCGGAGTCCATGGTTGAGATTCCACAGCAATTTCTTCTAATTTTCCCTCGTAGAGAAAGAATCCAAATCCCCCTCTCTCGTCAATCTCTTGCCGCTCGGTTGACCGTGGCAAATTTCAATCATTTTCATGGGACCCTTAAATCACAGCCGCATACGGTGACACCAATTTTCGTAGATTGCATCATCTCTCACTGATACATCCATCTATGGCTCTGAATAATCTACTAGAATTTTTGTTCATTCAAAGAAAAAGGATTTATTTTCTTATTTTAAAATTTAAAACATGGGAGACGTCCCGCAAAGTCAAGACAACGTTCATTAGTCCTCAATCCAACGGTGCCAAGTAAACGTGACTTGTTCCGACGAAATATATACCGACGTTGAGACGTAGTCGTGAATAGTGATAGAAATAATAGAAGATAAGAACAATATAATATAAGAAGCTTTATTGAAGTAGATAAACTTTAGCTTGAATACATTAACATGTTCCTCTCCTATTTATAGGATTAATAGTGATAGAAATAATAGAAGATAAGAACAATATAATATAAGAAGCTTTATTGAAGTAGATAAACTTTAGCTTGAATACATTAACATGTTCCTCTCCTATTTATAGGATTAAGAGGAAGGATTTTCCTCAACAGAATAGATAAGATTTCCTCATATAGTGGGGAAATCTTATCTTCTATCATGCCCCCGTAAGATGGTGCTCCTGACAAGGATACCAATCTTGGATCGGTAAGAAAGAGGCTTCGTGAGTAAGATAAGTGTAAATCGCTGCTGCTGTTGCTGCGATTGCTGCTGCTGTTGCTGCGATTGCTGTTGCTGTGATGGCACAGGCGTTCCCTTCATTCTCCTTAAGTCTGCCGAATGTTGATAGATCAGCGAAGACTACCGCGGTGAGGAAGATGAGGATTGACCACGGAGCCTCTTAGGAATGCAACGACGTTGGTCGCTTGCCGAAGGCAAGAGCGAAGTTTCGCTTTTCTCAACGACGTTGGTCGTGGTTGCGATTACGACGGCTGCGACGGTAGAGAAGAAATCTACAGCAATATTGCAGTGATGCTACTACATCAAAGGAGGAAACTGCAACAGAGGAGGAAGCTATAGTAGAAGAGGAACCAGACCCTCATTGCTGCTCTCTCTTCTCATCCGTAATCACCCGTGAACCCCAACAATGTCACCATCCACCACCACTAAAAATATAATTGGGATGTTAAAATTATCTTTTTATCTATCGTTTTCACTTCCATAGTCCAACCTATGTAATTGGGATATTAAAAGTATCTTTTTATCCATCGTTTTCACTTCCATAGTCCAACCTGGAAGCCCAAGTATGCCCATAATGTGCAATCAATCTGCCAATTCTCTCGTCTCCGCTGCTTCCCTACCTCCATACATTTGTACCCGCTCCGGAGTCCATGGTTGAGATTCCACAGCAATTTCTTCTAATTTTCCCTCGTAGAGAAAGAATCCAAATCCCCCTCTCTCGTCAATCTCTTGCCGCTCGGTTGACCGTGGCCAATTTCAATCATTTTCATGGGACCCTTAAATCACAGCCGCATACGGTGACACCAATTTTCGTAGATTGCATCATCTCTCACTGATACATCCATCTATGGCTCTGAATAATCTACTAGAATTTTTGTTCATTCAAAGAAAAAGGATTTCTTTTCTTATTTTATAATTTAAAACATGCTAGAGGTCCCGCAGAGTCAAGACAACGGTCATTAGCCCTCAATCCAACGGTGCCGAGTAAACGTGATTTGTACCGACGAAATAGATAGTGAGGTAGAGCAGTGGCCGTGAATAGGAGAGGCGGACAAGAAAGAATAGTTGAGCTGAACGAAATGGACAACTCTTTTCTTCGTTAAGATTAGTTGTGACCTCTTTATTATTATTATTTTTTTCGACAACTCTTTTCTTACAGATAAAGACAGGATGATCTCAATATCCTGATAGTTAAATACGGTCGACATCTTGCTACATCTTCGACGCCCTCTAGTCCGGAATATTATAGGAGAACAAGCTTCTACCACGCCGAGGCGAATGGAAATTGTCCGCAGTGCAGTATCGGACGATTTTGATCCTTTAGGACGGCTTTCTCCGTGTTTCTTCTGCTCTCGTCGATTTTTTCCTTCGCTCTCCTTTGATCTAACAATTAAGTGATGCAGCGACGCACCGCCCCGTTTCATCTTAATGCTTGTTTCCATTCCCAGTTTGGTGGATCGGGGGCTCTCGATAGACGAAGAACGCATAAAAGCCTCCGATGATGGTGGCAGATCCCACGCACCACACGACCACCGCGACGGGCCACGGCATGACGGAGGCCACCTTGTAGGAAAACATGGTGGTGAGCAGGGCGGTGAGGAACCAGACCGCCACCTTGAGCCTCTCCTTGTGGCGCTGGTTGGACCTCTCGAACTGTCGGAGACACCAGAACAAGGAGACGAGGTCGGCATAGGCGACGATGACGAAGGACAAGGCCCAGAGGTCGTGAATGGACCTGTAGGCGGCGGTGACGCTATTATAGGTCAAGAACGCAAAGCCCAGAAGGGTGATCAATGAGTAGTCGTCTTTGCGAGCGTCCAGCGGAGGTTCCACATAAGGACGTTCTGCTCGCGGCGCCGCGGACATTGCCGGAGACAGCACCCGATGGGAAGACTGGTTTTGAGAAGAGCACTCATTTATCAATGGGTGCGGGAGGTGGAATATATTTATAGTGGGAAGTGAGGATGGATGGTTTTCTACTGCATTCTAACACGAATCCGGTGTCCACTTGTCTCGAGTTATTGTGGGGTTTCTGCGTCGGGTGACGGGACACGATGTTGAATAATAAAAGACATTAATGTACGTCGGCATCCGATGCGATTAAATTTGTCCATTTCAGCTATCGGCCACTTGGAAGAACGTTACTCTGATGTTCCGGCTGGACCTCCACGCCCCATTTCATGCCCACGTTTCCATCTCACAACTCCCTCACGAGTGGGTGCCACAGCCGTCCCAGAGGGACCCCCTATCTTCCACCAAATGGCGAGCGACGGTGTGCCGTAGCCTGCACGAACATAAACTGCAGATTCAGCACCCCGGTCATTAACGTCACGGATGACGACATTGAAGAAGCGGCACACATGGTGGAGGCGTGATCCAGGGAAGGTTGCGGAAGCTTCACGGCACTTTCGGCAGGAGGACATAAAAGTGATGCGACGCTCGCTCACGCACCCACCTGCAGCCGTATGCAGGAACGCCGTAGTGGGGCCAACTTGAGAGGATGCACAATGGGTGGTAGGGGAAGTCGGGTGGTCGACCACACTCGTCTGTCTTTTATCCTCCACGTTTCTTTATTCTCCAAAATTGACTTCCAAGTCGGTCGACGATTGATGAACGGACCGAACGAAAGCGACTCCCTTGCGACATCGTTACAATTTGACCCCTCCACGAGGGCCATTATAACAGGATGCCCTGACGGGACCTCTGGAAAGATCACCGTTCTGGGTGTTGTCGATCGCTGACGTACGTGTGGCGCGCCGACTCCGCTCTTCGTGGGCGGCAATGGCAAGACGTTTGTATGAGAAGCCGGAGCGGTCAAGGATACACAGTTGGCCGACACACGCTCTGCGGTTACTGCAACATCCTTAAGGTGTGTCATGGTTGTTGAGATGGATCGTGGCGCGTCCATGGAGATGAAGATCCAGCGCAGATCCATACCCCTCTTTAATACTATATGATTTTAACGACGCAAAATTATATATAATTATATTATATATATATATATATACTTAAGAATAAAAACAAATTAAAATACCCATATTGCAAAGTGAAGAGAAGTCGGCTCCAAACAAAATCCCAATCAGACACGAAGCCAATATAAAATATGCGACGAGACGCTATTCACTTGATTGTTTGGATGCGAATGCATACACACGTAGCTCTGCTCACTCGTCTGCACGTACGATTTGAAGGGTCGGAGTGTTTCATCAGTCCGTCCGTCCGTCGTAGAATTGCGTAGAACGAATCCGCAGGAATGTGCCCGCGCACCGCATCGCGACGCGTCTCTCTATCACACAATCAACTCGGTGTAAGAAAGGTCCCAAATACATTTTGTACATCACATCCAATCGGAGTTTTCCATTTGAAACATTATTATTATTATTATTATTATTATATTGTCGGAAAAGAAGTAACTATGGTGGAGAGGTTGTATCTATCTATGTTAGTTGATACAATTCTGTGCCCATTATCTCTGAGTGAATAAGTTGCTTGTTATTATTTATCTATTTTGCAATTCGTCATGTTAATAAGCTGCTGCTTCTTGCTTTTCTTTTTCTTTCATCGAATGGCCATTGAAGTTTGTAAGTAGTACCATAATTACTTCTGAACGTGTTATGGTTAAAGTGGGTTAATTTAACCCTAATAAATCAAACCCTAAGTTAACGGAATCTTGGGAATCTGTTGATTAGTAATTGATGCATTGATTAATTTGTTTTGCATGACCAAATTTTCCTGCTGATCTGGTTAAGTTAGTATACTTGTGTTTATGTTGTCAACTTCAAGGTTCTTTGTGTGACTGATCTGATGCTACATTCTTCGTGTTTCAGACCCAGCAGAAGCAGAAGGAACATTCTCCAGAAAAGGATGGTGATGAATAAATGATTTGTGAAGGCTGCTCGTTCGCCGACGGTGAGAGAGGATTTATAGCAAACCTCATCTCCTAGACGTTGGTGAGATAAACATGACTTGGTTCTTTTCTTGCAGTGAGATATCGACACACATTCTGATATAAAAAAGAGATTAAGATGGGTCGTAAAATATTCAAGTATTTCTATGTCTTTTTTTTTTTTTCTCCCGATGCTGATGCTGATGCTGTGATAAACTGGTTGCTGTTAGTTCTCGTGCTGAACTGAAGATGGTCTGCATTTCGCTCAAGTTTGTACCATGGGATGCTGGTAAACAGATACGATCAAACATTCCATCGAAGCCCAACCCGACTTGGTCAATATGCCAAGAACATGCAGAGGGGTGGGGGGTTGGGGTGGGTTTGGGCAGGTAGAGGAGACACCATGTTTGATTCCTGTCAACCAAATGGTGGGTTGTCAGGCTTAGCGTTGAAGATGTCTCTACCGGGGCAAGTTGCTAACTCTTGGTAGGTACACTCCGAGAACCGTCCAACCGAAAGGTTGTCGGGTACTTTGGATCAACCTTGGCTTCGGCACTTATTTCTGCAAGAAACTGGAAAAAACGCCATTCAGATGGTTTCTGCTATTACGTGGTAACGAAGTTCTAAACAATAAGATGTCGAGGAGTTAAAAGGATTTATTTGAAAAAGTCTCGCTAGTGCTATCTTACGGTAGTCTCCTTATGGTAGAAGGTTCAACTCGAGACATTGTCATTGGATTCTTAAGATTTCACTAATTCCCTTCTATATCCTAAGCTAATTGAGCTTCTGGTTAAGGAACCTATCATATTCAAGTCATCAAGGTCAGGACAACACTCTCCAAGGAGAAGCAAGTACAATTTATCGACTTCGTAAGAGAAAATGCCAAGGTGTTTGTATAATCATCGAGAGATATACCAGGACTAGATCCTGACATGACTTAATACTACCTAAATTTTACCACGATGTATGACTTGTGAAGCAAAATCCTTGTAAGTTAACAGATGATTATCGACGAGGTGGATAAGTTGCTAAATGCGAGATTCATTGCTAAGATGCAGTATCCTCGATGGCTTGCTAAAATTATATTAGTTAAAGAAAAACCTAATAAAAATTAGAGAATGTGTATCGATTACATCGATCTCAAAAAAACATGTCCAAAGGATAACTACTCTCGGATCCATTCTCAAGATACAACCAAATAAGAATGATGCCACGGGATCAGGAACATACATTCTTCATCACGAATCGTGACATATATTATTCAGAGTCGTGTCATTTGAATTGAAAAATATATGAGTGACATGTCAAATGATGGTGAATAAAATATTTAAACATCAATCAGGAGGAATGTCGAGGTATATGTGGATGACATGATAATCAAAAGTAGAACAACCAACTTACACCTCATGAACTTGGTCTAAGACATTTCAAGTTTTGAAGAGATATAACAAGTGTGCTTTTGGAGTCAACTCGAAAAAAATTTCTTAGATTCATTGTTTATTAGTGAGGAATAGATGCACACCCTAAAAAAATTTGTACTATATTAGATATGCATCCACCTCAGTCGATCGATGAAGGAAGCACAACAATTAACAAGATAAATAACAATGCTTAGCAGATTCTTATCCCAGTTTGACGTTAAGTGTCTGTCATTCTTTCGGGCACTAAAAAATCTAAAGGGTTTCTCGTGGATTCAGAAATGTAAGTGGCATTTGAAAAGTTGAAGTACCACCTCGCTCAATTATTGTTGCTATTCTCTATTATGGATGAAGCCCTAAGCCTCTATCTCGTCACTATTAAGCAGGTTGTCAGCTTGGTATTAGTGCAAGACTCATCTATGACATTAGCCATATACTAAGCAGAGCTAAGGAGCGATACCACCTGCATCGAGAGGTTGGCTTTTGGTAAGAAAACTTCGCCTCTATTTTTAAGTGCACCTCATATAAGTGATCACTAACTAACCACTCAGATAAATCCTTTCACTATTTGATGTCTAGGGTCGGATGCTGAGGTGGTCGATAGAGCTAAGCGAGTTTGACATCTGATATTTACCGAGGGTTACCATTAAAGCTCAGGCATTGACGGATTTCACATAGGAGCTAACCTCCTTGTCCGAGGTTGAAGCTGATAAGCACACCTCGTCGATATGGACCTTGTTCGTAGATGGTTCCACCACTTCGAAAAGGGACGACACTAGACTTGTTGTGAAAGATCCGAATAAGTAAACATATGAAGTCTAAAGCTTATCTTGACTCAATGTGTTGCGGATACCTCACATAGAAATACCCAAGTTAATGCACTTATTAGGTTAGCACCTGGGCTTCGAATGAAGGATGATCGATAGTTGAGATGTTGTCGATTTAAACCGTTGAAGGACACAACATGACTACGATTGATGAGGAACCAAGCTAGATCGATGAGATCCTACACTATAAGAAATACGGGACACTCTTCGTTGACCTCGTAACGACTAAAAAAGTCAGATATTATCAGGAATGATATTACGTAATAAATGATCACCTATAATGAAAATCTTTTCATATTAACAATACAAAATTATATATAATTATACATGAAGTTAAGTGAAGTGAAGTCGACGCCAAACAAAATCCCAATCAGACACGAAGCCAATATAAAACATCAAACCATCCTACGAAACCATCCTAGGATTACTACTAACGAATCCGCTGCAATGCGAACTCATTGCATCGCGAGTTCCTACGAAACCATCCTAGGATTACTACTAACGAATCCGCTGCAATGCGAACTCATTGCATCGCGAGTTCGCATTGCAGCACGTCTTTGTATGACGTTCATATCACACGATCAATGGGAGTTTCACATTATTATTATTATTATTATTATTATTATTATTATTATTATTATTATTATTATTAGAAAGAAAATAAAAAATTGATAACATATATCAGATGCTGAAACAAAAAATTGAAAGTAAATAAATAATTATAATTCGTGAGACATTGAATCGGAACGTTTGATATGTTTCAAAACTTTTTATCGCTCCTGTTT